ATCTGCCTGACTCAGCCTCCCAAAGTGCTGGAATTATAGGCATGAGCCACCGCGCCCGCCCTATTCCTTGTTTTGTCTTTTTGTCTTCTTTCTCTTAGACAGGACCCCACATCTTATGAGTGTCAAGCCCCACCCAGCGTAACTCCACCCTTGCCTTGTCCTCTTAGAGCCTCGGTTTCCCCAGGTGTATGATGGGGGCATGGTGGCTGTAACGGGCCTCTGTCATTGCCTGCCACACGGGCGTGGGGCTCAGTAGGTGCTGCCCCTGCTGCTGCAAAACTGAAAGAGCCTCCACAAGGGCATAGAGCCGTTCCCTGGATCCCCTGGACCTGGTGGGCTGTTTCCAGCTCCACAAGGCAGCCAATTCCCCTACAGCCCTGACTCTTGCGAAGGCAGGGACGAGGGGTTCCCCAGCAGCCTGAGGAGCTTGCAGCTTGTCCAGGCATGGAGGGTGGGGACCCTCTGTGGGCAGTTTTGGCCAAAACTTCTGGCAACGGAAAGAGGGTCAAAGGTGAAGCCTCGAGGTCTCCATTCTGGGATTGTCTGCTTAGGGTCACCGTGGCCACACTGGGGCTGTGCCTGCACGCTGGGAGCTGAGTGCACAGTGACAGGTCGGCACTGGTAGGGGCCTGTGCAGATGAGATGGCGCTGGGAGTGGGGGGTCCGGGCTTCCCGGCAGCGCCTGATGTGGTTTTGGTTACAGACTCCGCCCGTGTTTCCCTCTAAGCTGCTGAAAAGCTCAGAAATGTGCAGCAGGGGCTGGAGCTCAGCCTGAGTTCTGACTGAATGTGGGAGGTGGGCGCTGGGACGGTTGCGAGTTCAGGCTGCATGAACCCACTTCCTGGGTTTAAAAACGGGCTCTTCATCTGCCAGCGGTGTGCCCAGGGCAAGGCCTTCTTTGCCTTTCTGAGCTTTGGTTTCCCTGTGTGTGGAACAGAGATGAATCACAGGCCCTGCCCCACGGAGTGATTGGAAGATTCAGTGTGATAATTTATGTGGAGGGCTGTCGTTTCTTTGAACCCCTCCCACCAAGGTGTGGGGTGATGTCCCCTTGCCCTGAGCCTGGGCAGGTGCCTCTGGCAGGAGTGGCGAACAGGATGCCGCAGGAGCAGTGCTTTGTGACTCTGGAAGCCGGGGCAGAAAAGATGTCCATCTGACTCTCTGGAAATGCACCCTTGGAGCCCTGAGCACTGCGTAGATGCCAGCTGGGTCCCCAGGGAACAACCATGGCAGGGATTCCTGGAGGGTCCCTGCCGAGTCAGTCCCACAGCAGGGCCCAGACCAGCCTGGAACCAGGAGAGATGATGGGGACTACGTGACTCTGGTCTTTCCTGCCCTAGTTCAGGACAGTTTGTTCCTTAACTGCAGGAAACCAGGAAAGCAGCCCAGAAGCTGCAGTGAGCCCATCCCTGGGTGAGGACTGCTGAGTTCTTGCGGGTGAGTGGCAGACCTGGGATTTGAAGCCAAGACCATTTGCCCTTGAGCCTGAGGCCACCACAGCCCCGTCCTGCCCTGCACTGCCCTCCAATAAGGAGTTAGATTCAACTACACTTCTAGCATTTTCCATCACAAGGCCATCATTCTAAAGTTTCATGGACTCCCGAAAGGTGATAGCTCTCTCTGGGAATCAGCTGACTGAAAGCACCCGTAGCAACAAAAAGCGATTTTAACCTCAGTGATCGGGCTGGTGGATTTTCGTTTCGTGACGGGCAGCAGCAGCCTGTGTATTCCACAGCAGATGTGTGTGTGTGAGTGCTGGCCACAGCTGGGCCTTGAACTCAACTGCACGTTTAACCAAGAACCAGACATGATCCTTGTTCTATTACATTGTAAGAATGCTTCTCTAGTGTGGATTTTTTTTTTTTTTTTTTTTTTTGAGATGGATTCTCTAGCTGTCGCCCAGGCTGGAGTGTAGTGGTGCCATCTTGGCTCACTGCAACCTCCGTCTCCCAGGTTCAAGCAATTATCCTGCCTCAGCCTCCTGAGTAGCTGGGATTACAGGCACGTGCCACCATGCCCAGCTAATTTTTGTATTTTTAGCAGAGATGGGGTTTTGCCATGTTGGCCAGGCTGGTCTTGAACTCCTGACCTCAGGTGATCTGCCCACCTCGGCCTCCCTAAGTGCTGGTATTACAGGTGTGAGCCACCATGCCTGGGCTACTGTGGATGTTTAATATCTCCATTTCACAGGTGAGGAAGCTGAGGCTCAGAGGTGCACAGCTCAGCAGTGGTGGATCAGGGCTCTGGACCCGGGAGTCTAATGGTAGGGATCTCTGATATACTGTGCTATGGGAGAAGCTCCCAAAAGTCCTAGGCTAGGAGCCTCTAGACAAGAGGGTTGTTCAAGTCTCTTCCCACTCCCTGGCCCATGAAGCAAGACTCTTTCCCCCAAGGCTGGTCCTTTTACCTCCTAAGGTCTTTTTTTTTTTTGAGACGAGTCTCGCTGTGTCACTCAGCCTGGAGTGCAGTGGCACAATCTCGGCTCACTGCAACCTGCACCTCCCAGATTCAAGCAATTCTCCTGCCTCCGCCTCCCAAGTAGCTGAGATTACAGGCACCCGCCACCATGTCTGGCTAATTTTTGTGTTTTTAGTAGAGATGGGCTTTCACCAAGTTGGCCAGGCTGCTCTGAAACTCCTGACCTAAGGTAGTCTGCCTGCCTTGGCCTCCCAAAGTGTTGCGATTACAGGCGTGAGCCAGGGCACCCAGCCTCTTAAGGTCTTTTAATTTATCAAGGGTCTAACTCGGCCAGGTGCGGTGGTTCATGCCTGTAATCCCAGCAATTTGGGAGGCCAAGGCAGGCGACTCACTTGAAGTCAGGAGTTCAAGACCAGCCTGTCCAACATGGTGAAACCCCGTCTCTACTAAAAATACAAAAATTAGGCAGGCGTGGTGGTGGGCACTGGTACTTCCAGCTACTTGGGAGATTGAGGCAGGAGAATCGTTTGAACCTGGAAGGCGGAGGTTGCAGTGAGCCGAGATTGCGCCACTGCACTCTAGCCTAGGCGACAGAGAGAGACTCAGTCTAAAAAAATAAAATAAAATAAACAGTCTAACTCTTTATTTTCAGCTGAGGAGATGAGCCCAGAGATCAGCATCAGGACCAGAGCTGAGTCCCCGATGGCACTTCCTCCCTTGTCCCTGGCATCATCCCTCCCCTGCGGTTTGCCTAAAAAATTCTGACTTACCCCATGGGGAAGAAATGCTCCAGAACCTTCCCCGGGAGGAACACAGCCTTTGGGTAAAGGGTCCTTCACAGCCAACTCTTTTCTTTCCCATCAAGAGGTGGGACCACCTGGAGTGGGATGTGGCTGCTGGCGGGGAAAACATCCCCCGGCCAGGTTTCCTCTGGCTGTGGAGCCGCGCAGAGGAAGAGGATGGGGCGTCAGAGCTCTCAGAGCCGTGGCCTTGTGGAGTTCCTGAGCAGGCAGATGGGGCGGCAGGGGGTGATCTTGTCCCAGTCCCAGGAGGCCGCCCCAAAGCCAGCATCAAGGCGAACGCCACGCACAGATCAAAAGGCTCCTTGAACCACGAGGAAGGGCTGGCCCCAGCTCCAATTGCACCAGCCCGCACCATTGTTAACACAGGTTGAAGCCTCATCCGTCCGCACATCTGAGGCTTGCGTTGACTCCCTCCGCCCTGGAATTCTTTTGTTTGCTGCTGAATAAATAAACTACATTTCTTTGGAATTTCCCCTTCTCCCTCAAAGCCTTTTCTCAGCTGATCTTGGAGAAACGCAACATTCTTGTCCCAGCCATCTTTTCGAGCTGTGCTGGATGCAGGGAAGTGCACGGAGAGATGGACGGAGAGCTGTGGTTTGGGCAGGTTTCTCTCTGCCCTTGGGCTGGGGGTCGGATAGGGACTGTTTTAAGTTCCTTCCCAAGGAGAGTGCTGGGTGGTACACGGGTCAACATTCGTATGTTATCACTTAGGGATTTGTTTCAATATGTTTTAAAACAAATTTTATCATTAGTGAATATCATCACCCAGAACAAGGCTAAAAATTTTTCGAGCTAATCAATTTAAAGAAAAATATTAGACGGGATGCGGTGGCTCATACCTGTAATCCCAGCACTTTGGAAGGCCAAGGTGGGTGGATTACCTGAGGTCAGCAGTTTGAGATCAGCCTGGCCAACACGGTGAAACCCCATCTCTACTAAAAAATACAAAAATTAGTCGGGTGTGGTGGCACACACCTGGAGTCCCAGCTACGTGCGAGGCTGAGACAGGAGAATTGCTTGAAACCGGGAGGCAGAGGTTGCAGTCAGCCGAGCTCACACCACTGCACTCCAGTCTGGGTAACAGAGGGAGACTCCTCAAAAAAAGAAAGAAAGAAAGAAAGAAAAATATTCAGTAGAGAGTAGTCCCATTGGCAGGCAGATATGTCAAACGTTTTCAGGATCCTGCCTGCATGGCTGAATTTTGGGAACTTCTATCGAGCCCAACACCCTTATTTTATGAAGCAAGAAACAGGGTCCCAGAGCAGTGGTGACGCATTCGAAGTCAGAGAGAGAGCCAGCTGTGGACACTCGAGCATCAGCCCCGTGGAATCATGTTTCCAGAACTGGAATCACGGCCCCTCGGTGAGACTCTTTCCATTGCGCTGTTTCTTTTTCCTTGTAAATGAATCGCTGCACTAAACAATTTTGCTTGTCACATGATGCTGATTTCTTTTTTTTTCTCTTTTTTTTTTTGAGACGGGGTTTCACTCTTGTTGCCCAGGCTGGAGTGCAATGGCGCGATCTCAGCTCACTGCAACCTCCACTTCTGGATTCAAACGATTCTGTTACCTCAGACTCCTGAGTAGCTGGGATTGCAGGCATGCGCCACCACGCCCGGCTAATTTTGTATTTTTAGTGGAGACAGGGTTTCTCCATGTTGGTCAGGTTAGTCTCAAAATCCCGACCTCAAGTGATCCACCCGCCTCAGCCTCCCAAAGTGTTGGGATTACAGGCGTGAGCCACCGCGCCTGGCCTGCTGATTTCAAATATGCAGCTTACCTTGTGTTTTATTTCCGGCAAGATGTTCACCAGCCTCTGCAGCGTCTGATGATGGGCCCCGAGCTGCGTGGCAGACACAAGAGGTGTTAGCTGAAAAGGCAGTGGATGGGGAGGAAGCTCAACCCACTGTAAATACACCACAGTTTAAAAGCAATCCTTGGCCAGGCACGTTGGCTCACGCCTGTGATCCTAGCACTTTGGGAGGTCGAGGTGGGCAGATCATCTAAGGTCAGGAGATCGAGACCAGCCTGCCCAATATGGTGAAACCCTGTCTCTATTGAAAATATAAAAATTAGCTGGGTGTGGTGGCACACTCCCATAGTCCCAGCTACTGGGGAGGCTGAGGCAGGAGAATCACTTGAACCCAGGAGGTGGAGCTTGCTACGAGCCGAGACCGTGCCACTACACTCCAGCCGTGTGACACAGCGAGATTCTATCTCAAAAAAAAAAAAAAGCAATCCTAATGATGGATCACTACTTTTTTCATTAGGAGAGCTACACCACAGCAAGCGATTACCTTTAAAAACACACCTATCACGGCCAAGCCATTCTCTCCCATGACAGCTTCCTTGTAATTTTGGTATTTCACAGAATTCCAGTGAACTAAATGCAGCTGAAACACAGTGGAAAGAGAACTTAAATCGATCAGCAAGAAGTAAGACGGTGACTTCCCTTTCTGAATGGCTGCCCTATGTGTCCACTTAATCATAATGAAAGGGCTGGGCGCGGTGGCTCATGCCTGTAATCCCAGCACTTTGGGAGGCCGAGGTGGGCGGATCACAAGGTCAGGATCATTGAGACCATCCTGGCTAACATGGTGAAACCCCGTTTCTACTAAAACTACAAAATATATATATATATATATATATAGCTGGGCGCAGTGGTGGATACCTGTAGTCCCAGTTACTTGGGAAGCTGAGGCAGGAGTATAGCATGAACCCAGGAGGCGGAGTTTGCAGTGAGCCGAGATCGTGCCACTGCACTCCAGCTTGGGCGACAGAGCGAGACTCCATCTCAAACGAAACAAAACAAAACAAAACAAAAACAAAGATTAGCTGGGCATGGTGGTAGGTGCCTGTAATCCCAGCTACTCAGGAGGCTGAGGTAGGATAATCACTTGAACCTGAGGGGCGGAGGTTGCAGTGAGCCGAGATGACGCCACTGCACTCCAGCCTGGGCAACAGAGTGAGACTCCATCTTGGAAAACAAAAAAACAAAACCAGAGGCCTCCAGTTAAGTTTGAATTTCAGATAAGCAGTGAATAACTTTGTAGTGTAAATATGTCCCAAATATTGCATTTTCTTGATGTCAAGGCACTTGACCTTGACCCTCATCCATGTCTGCATTTGACACTCCGCCTTTGGTTTTCCTGTGGTGGAAACATGGATCTGGAATCGTGTTCCAGTCTCTGTGTCCAAATTGGCCAGGTGACAGGGATTTAAATCGGGGTCAGCACAGGCTGGGGAAGGGGCTTTCTGAGTTGCTGGCAAGCAAGAGGCAGAACTGTGATCTGGGTCCAGTTCCCCGGCTGGGCGTTCCTGTGGTGAGAGCGTGGTCTTGCCTAGAAGGGGCCTGGGCACCTGTCCATGTTTCCTTATAAGCACAGGGGATGTGGGGCAGCCTTTTATAATGGGTGCTCCAAGCCCCAAGTCCACCAGGATGGGGCACAGCAAGCCGTTGGGCTTCTTGTCCACCATTCCCCACACTGCTGGGACTCTGGGACCAGGGGCCCCGTGGAGGGCATTGGGGCCAGTGAGAACCACACAGCACCTCGATGCCAGCAGCTTCACGTGCTTCCAGATGCATCTGGGCCAGTGAAGGTAGGTGTGGGCTCTTCCTGCTACCTGTGGCTCACCTGGAATGCCACACCTGAGGCCCCACCGTAGACCCCCCTCCCCCCCAGGAAACCACACAGTGCAGCATGGGCCAGACACTCAGCCAGGATAGGGGCCCCCAGCCCTTGCTCAGCCCGAGTCAGGGAGGTCCCTGAGGGACCAAGCTCACTGGTCTCCTTTCTCTAGGAATACACTGCAACAACCTTCCTCCTTTAAAATATCTGTTCATCGGCCGGGTGCGGTGGTTCACACCTGTAATTCCAGCACTTTGGGAGGCCGAGGCAGGTGGATCGTGAGGTCAGGAGTTCAAGGTCAGCCTGGCCAAGATGGTGAAACCCCATCTCTACTAAAACTACAAAAATTAGCCAGGCACGGTGGCAGGCGCCTGTAATCCCAGCTACTCGGGAAGCTGAGGCAGGAGAATCACTTGAACCTGGGCGGCAGAGGTTGTAGTGAGCCGAGATCGCACCACTGTACTCCAGTCTGAGCGACAGAGTGAGACTCAGTTTCAAAAATAAATAAATAAATAAATAAATATCTGTTCATCAAAAACAAAGTTGCAGATAGACATACTAAAATAAAAGGCATGTTGTTAAATGAAGAGAAACACACAGAAGCCATTGTTGCACTCGTTCTTGGAACTATATATAAATATGTGTATAATTATGACAATAGATATCACTTCTTATTTAGAAAACGTCCCAAGGTCACCTCTGGGTGTGTGGTTAAAAGCAATTTTCATTTTCTGGTTTGGGTGGACTCTAGTTCCATATTAACTGCAGTGTTACTTTCTTTTTTTTTTTTTGTGTTTTTTTTTCGGAGAGGGAGTCTCGCTCTGTCGCCCAGGCTGGAGTGCAGTGGCCGGATCTCAGCTCACTGCAAGCTCCGCCTCCCGGGTTCACGCCATTCTCCGGCCTCAGCCTCCCGAGTAGCTGGGACTACAGGTGCCCGCCACCTCGCCCAGCTAGTTTTTTTTTTTTTTTTTGTATTTCTTAATAGAGACGGGGTTTTACCGTGTTAGCCAGGATAGTCTCGATCTCCTGACCTCGTGATCCGCCCGTCTCGGCCTCCCAAAGTGCTGGGATTACAGGCTTGAGCCACCGCGCCCGGCTGCAGTGTTACTTTCATAACAACAAGTTCAAAAAACAGAAAGAGTCCTCAACTTGGAAAAAGCATCAAAAAGTCAGGTGGGCGGATGAGCAGAGGTGTGATAAAGTGAATATGGCAAAAATGATCATCACAGGACTGAGACGTCAAACGCGTGGATTCTTCTCGTTCATTTCTTTTCATTTTTTTGTATGTTGCAAAAATTTCATAATAAAATATTTGGGGAAATCTATAAGGCATCACCAAAATGGTGGTTTTTATCACGCAAAAAAACTACAAAAACTAATTCCCAACATTGATCCACACTCATTTTCTCTACTGACTCCCACTTTGGAACGTTGAAAATAAGACTGCTTTAAGAAGATGATCTCGGCCAGCGCTGTGGCTCACGCCTGTTATCCCAGCACCTTGGGAGGCTGAGGCAGGTGGATCACTTGAGGTCAGGAGTTTGAGACCAGACTGGCCAACATGGCGAAACCCCATCTCTGCTAAAAATACAAAAATTAGCAGGGCCTGGTGGCGCGCCCCTGTAATCCCAGCTACTCAGGAGGCTGAGGCAGGAGAATGGCTTGAGCCTGGGAGACGGAAGTTGTGGTGAGCCAAGATGGCACCAATGCACTCCAGCCTGGGTGACAGAGTGAACCCTGTTTCAAAAAAACCACAGAAAACAAAAACCAAACAAACAAAAGAAGATGATCTCTACTGCAAAGATGTGCAAAGATGTTCAGCTTCTCAGCAGAGGGCCTTGTGGATCTGCTAGTCCCTACAGCTGCAAGCACACAGCTGAGTGAAGCACGGCAAAGAGCTCAGGCTCTGACCTTGAATCCCAGCTGTCTGACTTTGGCAAGTTCCATAACCATTCAGAACCTCAGTCTCTTCTTGCGTTGAATGAGAGTGCTTACAGTGCCTTCGTCATAAGAGCAGGGTGTGAGTAAATGGGTGGGGTGGCCGACTATTCTGATTTGAGCACTGACAGTCCCAGGTCCCAGGAGATCCTTCACACCTGAGCAGCGGGCATGGCTTGTTCACTCCCCACCATACAGCCAGAAACATAGAAAGTGTATAGATACGTGCCGTTAGGCCACATCTACAAACCTCGGCGGGGTACGCGTGGCCGTCCACTGTGTGCTCCGAGCCCGCCTCGTTCACTGCTCCCCAGTGGAAGTGAAATTGCTTCAGTCTGTAGTGGTTTTCCAAGGGCCCACCACTAATTCCTGGAAATAAAGGCAGCAAGACGTGTGTGTCATTTTGTCTGTTTGTTGAGCTGTGGTGTTACCTGAGGCATTGTCTACGTTAGGATTGTATAAGCTCACTCACAAGGGGTTGCTATATGGTTGACGTGACAAGCCAAGGTGGGCTCCGTGAAAGGTGGGCTCTGTCTGTCCCATTCACTCTGCCCCACCACCAGCCCAGCGCCGGCCCCAGAGGTTCACAGTAAATGCCGAATGAGGGCAGGGTCCCAGTGCTGCCACTGGGTGGTGGTGGGGGCCTCAATTCCTTGCAGACAGAAATCAGTAAAGAATGTTTCTGAGATGCCTGCCTGTCCTATAAGATTTCCAGACTTCAATTAAAAAAAAAAAAAAAAAAAAGATGTCTTCTAAATATTTTTTAAAAGCAGCTTAAATCCTGTCACCAAATAATGTTGTAAAATAACACATAGTGAGCAAGGTTTTTGTTTTATTTTATTTTATTTTGAGACAGAATCTCACTCTATTGCCCAGGCTGGAGTACAATGGCACAATCTCGGCTCACTGCAACCTCTACCTCCAGGTTCCAGCGATTCTCCTGCCCCAGCCTCCCAAGTAGCTGGGATTATAGGCATGTGGCACCATGCCCAGCTAATTTTTGCATTTTAAGTAGAGATGGGGTTTCACCATGTTAGCCAGGCTGGTCTCGAACTCCTGTCCTCAGGTGATCCACCCGCCTCTGCCTCCCAAAGTACCGGGATTACAGGTGTGACCACTGCACCTGCGTGAGGTTTTTAAATAAGCAGACCCTGAGCTATAGCATCAGTCCTGATCTCTGGCAGTCCCTGCTTAATCTAGGCTCACCACAGGGCCAGCTTTTATTGAAACACTCCTTCCTTCCTAAGTCACCCTAAACACTGACCTTGGAGTCAGCACTCTCCACCTGCAGGCCTCGGGGTGCCCTTCTCCATGGCACAGTGCCAGGTGTGGCCTCCCAGGAGCTTGGTTTGCCTGACATGAGGGACTCAGCCATGAGCATTGCTCACCGAGGCCTCAGGCTCTGCCCTGCAGAGTCATGGCTGCTGTCCCCAGGACCAGGTAGTGCTGGGAGTCTGCCTTTTAATGAGTTCCCCAGGGGGGTTCTGATGTGGGTGGCTTCTCCTGTGTCTAAGCACTTTGTCACTAACAGATTTCCATCAACAACTGCTACAAATGTGGTATCTGTTCCACACGTTGTTTTCATTGAAAGGAGCACAGTATGCTCCTGGGATGGCTAGGCAAGGCTGGAAGGCACTGGCGGAGCTAGAGCGCTGGTCACGAATTCCGGGTGGCCCGAGTGCCTCCCATAGCTGTGGAGGAGCCTCGTCTCACCCACCTTGCTCATGCCACCTCCTGCTGTGGCAAAAGCCAGGAAAGCACTGAGCATGTGATGAATGCCTTGGGGAACTTGACACTGCTGACTCCTGGTGGTTTCCTGACACCAAAAGTATATATAGTTGGATTGGACGTGGTGGCTCACACCTGTAATCCCAGCATTTTGGGGAGTCGAGGCGGGCGGATCACTTGAGGTCAGGAGTTCGAGACCAGCCTGGCCAACATGGTGAACCCCCGTCTCTACTAAAAATACAAAAATTAGCTGGGCGTGGTGGCGGGTGCCTGCAATCCTAGCTACTCAGGAGGCTGAGGCAGGAGAATCGCTTGAACCTGGGAGGTGGAGGTTGCAGTGAGTTGAGATCGCGCCACTGCACTCCAGCCTGGACAACAGAGTGAGACTCAGTCTCAAAAAAAAAAAAGAAAAAAAAAAAAAAAGTACTCATAGTTGGATACACCAAGGTGTAAACTGGAAAATGGAAAATGGATTCGGCTCTGGTCCCATCAGGGGCTAGGCAAGTGGTGGACCAAGCCACAGAGTTGCTCACTGCCCCTCTTCACTCAAAATCTCAGTGTTGGTCTGGAGCAACCTTGGAGTCACACCTAGTTTTAGAATTCTACCATTATGAGCGAGTCTTCTAGTCTGCTTAAATATGCACAGATAAATTACATCTCAATTTTTTTAACCTCATCTCTACTAAAAATACAAAAAATTCACCGTATTTTTAGTAGAGATGAGGTGGTGGGTGCCTGTAATCCAAGCTACTTGGGAGGCTGAGGCAGGAGAATCGCTTGAACCCGGGAGGTGGAGGTTGCAGTGAGCCGAGATCGCACCAATGTACTCCAGACTGGGCGATAGAGTGAGACTCTATCTCAAAAACAAAACAAAAAAACACTTTGTTGCTAACAACCAGTCTTATTCTATGGTGGCCCACAGTGCTGTGAATGAGAGGGAGAGGTAGGGAAGCCGAGGCACGAGGAAAACCTCCCTGCTGGGCCACATCGCAAGAGTTTCGTGGTGATTTTCTAGCTTTGAAATTACAAGAGAGATGAGTTTTTTTTTTTTTTTTTTTTGAGAGGGAAGAGTATAAGAGTCAATTGGCCTTTGTGGTTTTCTGTTGTATTTTAATTTCCAGGGAGAGGTTAAGCAGGTTGCCAGCAGTCCCTGAGGTATGCCAGTGGGAACCAGGATTCAAATCCATGTTTGACATCAAAACCCATGCCTTTTCCACTTTGTCCTTCAAAGCACAAAACACAATCCTTTTTTTTTTTTGGAGACTGAGTCTTGCTCTGTTGCCCAGGCTAGAGTGCAGGAGTCTGATCTCGGCTCCCTACAACTTCTGCCTCCTGGGTTCAAGAGATTCTCCTGCCTCAGCCTCCAGAGTAGCTGGGATTAAGGCGCCTGCCACCAAAGCCTGGCTTTTTTTTCTTTTTCTTTTTTGTATTTTTAGTAGAGACGGGGTTTCCCCCTGTTGGCCAGGCTCATCTTAAACTCCTGACCTCAGGTGATCAGCCTGCCTCAGCCTCCCAAAGTGCTGGGATTACAGGTGTAAGCCACTGAGCCTAGCCTCCAAAACACAATCTAAGGAACTTACAGAACCACAAAATGCAAGCATGGTGAGCTCTGTGCTCGCTTCTGCCTCAGCCTGTGTCTGAGGTGGAAAGGGGGTTTGTAGCCGACCAGCCCCAGGGGCACCAAAGTGCATTGATTGGTGGCTGAGGGTGGAGCCTGCCAGGGGGTCTGCCTCGCTCTTGGGATGGGTTCACTCATGACGAGTTTACTGTGTGGAAATTCATGCATGTCTGTATCATCTCTTCTAGAATAGAAATGCCTAGAAGGCAGGGATGATGGATGCTTCATGGACAAATTAGACTGGACCCAACCTGGTAGATGCCATTTGTAAGACTCTGAGTTAAGTCCCACCCAGTTGCACTCTTAGGACAGAAGCTGTTTCTAGGCTGGGCATGGTGGCTCATGCCGGTAAATCCCAGCACTTTGGGAGGCCAAGGTGGGCAGATCACCCAAGGTCAGGAGTTCAAGACCAGCCTGACCAACATGGTGAAACCCCATCTCTACTAAAAATACAAAAAATTAGCCAGGCGTGGTGGCAGGTGCCTGTAATCCCAGCTACTTGGGAGGTTGAGGCAGGACAATTGCTTGAACCTCGGAGGCGGAGGTTGCAGTGAGCTGAGATCATGCCACTGCACTCTAACCTGGGCAACAAGAGTGAAACTCCATCTCGAAACAAAAACAAAAACAAACAAGAAAAGAGGCTGTTCCCATCTGGACCATCACTGTATCAACAGGACTTAGTGCAGGAAAGGGTCATTGAAGGCACACAATGAACCCTCATGGGATGAATGAATACAGGAACGAATGGGATTAGTCAGTTCATTGATTTATTCATTGAATCACTCGGTTGGTAAGCAGCTCTGTGTGTTGCAGTGGAATCGAGCCTTTCCCACGGCAGCTTGGGAACCACTGGGGATTTCTAGGAAAGTCCACGGAACATAGAAATAGTTAAAGACCTGGATTTGCAACTTAGCTCTGCTTCTAACTTGCTGTGTGACCCTGGGCAAGTAGCTTAGCCTCTCTGAGCCTAAGCCTCTCTACCTGTAAAATGAGAAGAGCAGGCAGGATAAATGGAGACAAGGCAGGAAGCATTTTGTAAAATTATGTCTGATGATGGCAGTGATGGTGATTGTGCATTGCACACCGTTTGGGGGCTCTGCAGCCTCATCTGTGTAAAGTGAGTTACTACACATTTCTCTCGGTCCCAGTTCAAGCACCCTAGGGTTCTACGTAGGTTCATAAATAGGGTCCCAAAGAGAGCGACACCAACTGCATAAGTCCACTGACAGCTGGATGCCTGCCAGACCCCCACCCACAAAACCTAGTAGAAAAGTCAGCCTCCAGACTGTGGCCAACGAACGAGGGCCAGGAACGGGAGCTGCTGGGACCAGAAGGGACTTGTGCGTCCTGAGCCTTTGCAGGGTAAGGTACTATGCTAACTCTAGGGCTAGAAGACTTTCCAAAGGCCACTTTCCCAGCAGGGCTGGAGCCCACGGGCATCTCCTCACCCTTCCTGACCCCGAGCTGTCCCAGAAGTCTTTTTTTTTTTTTTTTTTTTTTTTGAGACAGAGTCTTACTCTGTCGCCCAGACTGGAATGCAGTGGCGTGATCTCGGCTCACTGCAACCTCCGCCTCCTGGGTTCAAGTGATTATCCTGCCTCAGCCTCCCAAGTAGCTGGGATTACAGGCACCAGCATCACAGTCGGTTGTTTTTTTTGTTTTTTTTTTTTTTTGTATTTTTAGTAGAGATGGGGTTTCACCATGTTGCCCACGATGGTCTTGATCTCTTGACCTCATTATCCACCCACCTTGGCTTCACAAAGTGCTGGGATTACAGGCGTGAGCCACTGTGCCCAACCTGTCCCAGAATTCTTTACTGCAGCAGCCTCTGATGGGCTGGATCTCCCGCCTCTCTACCCATTGGAGTAAGATAAGTCAGCCCTTTCCAATCTGCCCCCGAGGGGAACCATGAAGCCCTTGGAACACGCGGCCCCTCCTCAGGCTGGCTCGGGGCATCTGCACGCCTGTACCTGAACAAGGGACTTGCTTGAAACGGTGGCCACCCTGGGCCGGGGACCAAGCA